TTCGTGATGGAGCGGAATCCCAAGTCCTGGAAACGCTTCAAGAGTCCTCATCGCCGTGGACGTTGGTGACTGGGTTGCTCCCGCTCACTGTTGGTTTGCTCCGGCAGGCTTCTTGCTAGGCGGCTCGGGAGCGGGCTTTGAAGAACGAGTACCAGTGAGCAGGAGCTCAGCGAGAGACGAGGCACGGGAGGACTGAACGAGTCTAGTCAGCGTACCAAAGTTGGGGCAGCGGCGCGCGGGTTTAGGATAGCTTCGTTGACCCACAGGAAGTAATCTTGTTGGATCTCGAAAAGGATGCGACCGCACAAGTCCACTGCCACACTCCGGTTGTCAGCATGCAGGCCATGGATGGTGTGGAGGTAGGATCCCAGCGAGAGGGCCACATCACGCACCGAGCATGAGACGGGATGGTTTCCTCCATGGAAGACGTCTATCATGATGGAGAAACCATAGAGCTTTTCCTCCGCAATGCGACCATCGGTGGGAAACTTGACATCGGTGGAAGTGATGGCAATGGCATCTTCCAAGGTGACCGAGGCTCCCTTCTCAACGTACTCCGCTCGAGCAGCCAAGTCCTGGACCGCCTTTGCTTCCGAATGGCCTTGGCATACCACCGAGAAGGGGGAGAGGCCCTCGCCCAAGGTGGTCCCTTGACCGTTCACGAAGTACTTGCGGAAGACACGATCCAGAATGTGTCCAGTGACCAAGGGTTTGTTCGCGAGGTTGATGGGTAGTGCCGAAGCCTGAGTGCGTTCGTCTAGTTGGGCTTGCAAGATTCCGTGTTCATTCCCTTTGGGGGACTTCGCGAGCAGACGGTGAATGACGGGGAGGTTTGCGTCATCGGCAACGTTGCAGAGGTTGTGGACGCGAGTGGCAAGTGCGACCCCGAATTTATCCGTGAAGGTTTTGTTGCTCTTCTCACGGTCATACTGGAGTTGTTGTTCGACGGTGGCCTCCAGTGTATCACGTAAGTTTGTGATTCCCGCGTTGAAGGTTGCGTTGGTCAGGCCCGGACCTACCGCGCCAAGCGCCGCCATGTAGGGGGAGAGCACCAGGTTCGTGCTTCGTTGGAGCGCGTTAGCGCTGATGGGCGCGGCCACGTTAGCAGCAGCATTACTAGTGGACGTGTGACCTCCCGCGACCAACGTGCAACAGGCGCGGAACCATTGGACCAAAGGGGCGATGGCAGCCTGTCGTGCGGGATCCGCGTGAGTCATCTCAGGGGTAAGGACTTCCGCACGGAACTGGGGAAGACTGTACTGTCCTTCGGGACGGGCCACAAGGACAGCTTCATAGAGATAGGACGGGAGAGGCATCACACGACGGACCCGGAAGACATCAGTGTCTGCGACACCGCCGCCATGGGGGCCACTGTGTAGCACAGGAGCCGGCACGGCGGTGAACATCGTTCCTCCGTCAATAACCGTCATGTTGTGGCAGGTTACGTCAGCCGTGCGCTCGAACGCTGACATAGGAAGGACTACCGTGATAGCGCTTCGAAGGTCGTTCCCCACCACGATAGCGTAGAGATTGTCGTAAGGAGAGACCTGGCTAGGATTCACGGGGTAAGCGTAGAGTGAATGTCCAATGTAGATATTCGTTTCGTCATTCTGGAGGACGAAGCCAAAGGTGACAGGTGAACGAAGGCAAAATTGGCTCATAGCGCGAGAGGCAACATCACGATTCGCATTCGAGGCGCCGCCCACAGAAGTGAGGATATCAGTGTAGTTAGGAGCATGTACCTCCCATGCCGCTGCACGAGAGACGAGATCCGAGAAATTAGAGCTGGCCATGGTGAGGGTCGAAAAGATACGAAACCTGATGCCGGCGCAAGAGATTAATCTAATCTAGGTTCTTGCCTTCAGCGTTGGCTGAATGAAGAATTGTGAGCTGAGAGAGAGACAACCTTCTTGCGATCGGCAGTTCAATGGCTGATCTTGGCTAGGTCGCTGGCTTTAGTGATGGATTCTTGCTTCCCGCGCACGCACCTCTTTCGTGTTAGAGGTGTTTGGTATCCTTTATAGTGAGGCTGTGTGCAGTATCTGCGCACCTCTTCTCTGTTGCTATAGTTACTCAATGCTTTGACTTGATAGTCTCTTGGATCAACTTGATGATATCAATCTCGAGGTGTTGATCTTCGAACTCGAGATGAGACTTTTGCTTTTCAGTGTTGTTTGTCTAGCTAAAAGGCTAGCACTGCAGCTTATTGAGGGGTAATTTGGTTTTTGGTTAAGCTGAAAAGCAAAAGTGAGGATTTACTGGTGGTGCATAGCAATTCTTGTGATTGAATTGGATATAAGGACCCCGCAACAATTTAGACCTAAAACTCCCTTGGTTCCTGCATCATGAATATGCATGTGAACCGGACTAGATGTTTAATACACGAGTCAATAATAATTCGAGGTATGGGGAATATATCCTCCAACAATCATCATGCCACACTCCTGTGGATTTGAGGTTATAGCCCTTGATCTGACCAATTCCTTGGGTCATCACAAATCATCTGCTCACTCCTGTGAGCTTGGCTCCATTGCCACTGTCTCGTGGGCTTTGTTGATCGTTTGCTCACGGTGTCCCTCCACCGGACTTCTTTGTAATGATGCTGGACGAACATCATTGAGAAGTATTGCACAGCTAGCCCACATGAAGTCCATTGTCCCCACATACAACTGTTTTTCTACTAGTCATTACAAAGAAGTGACAACAGTCTTTTGCCCACTTCTAATTAATAATAATAATATTTTGTCCCACAAATAGCATACCCTGGGCTAGGGAATCCTCCCGCTCAACATCTAGGCCGGACACCAAAGTGGATCAAACTGTGCAGTAAAAGTGTGTGGGAAGGAGACTTTCGTGGTGTTTGTGGATAACTATGGCACAGTTGGAATCGATTCCATCATCTAGAGGATAAATGCACTCAACAACCGCTGCCATTGCCAACAGTGGGTGCAGCTGCCACTTTCATTACCATTCCAACATTGTGGATACCCCCATGACCACGGAGAAACTCAATAGTGTTGAATGTGTTGAAACTTGATAGCCATCTTCGTTCACCCAAGAAAAGAGTGTTCAAAGCTCGATTTTGAAGTGGAGATACCATCGACGACGATGCTGAAGCCAAAGGCATCATTCGCAACAACACCTTGCCACTTTATTATCCGATCTGTCACTCCTTGTTAGGAGTTATTGTGTTGCCTCTTCCAATTGACGACTGTTGCCATTCAATGACTCGACTCGACTCGACGATGATAGGCTCCAAATGGTTCAGGCTGAAGTTAACAGTATTAACATTAGTAGTAGCAGTAATGGCTGACAGATCGATCGATCCAAACCTATTCCTGTTTCTCTTGTCAGCGAAGCGTGGATTTCTCTATGCAAGCAATATATGAATTCAACAGTACTTGACCACGCGGACGACCGATCGGTACTAATTCGATTCAAAGATGCTCCCCATTGACTGATGCTTGAGAGTACCAGGTAGAGGTGCGGGAATTCAACCGGCTTGCAACTTGTAGTACTGAACCGTCCAATACTAGCTACAGTACCACCGTACCACGTGATTGACATACTCCAGCCTGAGAAGGATCAAACGCTTCACTCCCATGGTAGAGGTAAGTCTATGGCTCCTGCTCGCATTATCCAGCCACTCTCTTAGTCAAAACAACGCACACACCGAAAACAACAATAATACATACACGTAAATTCAATGAGGGATGGCTTTCAAATCTGACCTTCAACAATACTTTGATATTAGGCTTTACTGGCATCTCGAATGAGTCAATCGATCGAACGATTCAATCGATTCAACCATGAGGGAGCAGAGAAGTCAGTGCCACTGCTCGACTGAGGCTTGATAGGAGAGGTGCGGCTGGTATGGACTTGACTGTCGCTAGCCAATTGACTGCCATCGGTTACTCTAGTGGGATCCAACGCTTCACTCGTGTGGTGGCAGCCATTATCCACTCGCATTAGATCTACCAGTACTTCTTATCCACTCGCATTATCCAGCCACTCGTCTCCATTATCTCTCCACCCTCAGTCAACCCACAGCAGCCACACTGATCAGCCAACTGGGTGCTGGGTCTAGCTAGGGCAACAACTGAAGCAACCACGGAGCACCATCAGGAGAATAATGCAGCTGATGGTTTGCTGTGTCTTACGAGTACCGTACCGTACTCAGTACGTATTCATTTCAAATGCAGCTGGGAGCTGGGAGCGGGGTGTGCAACTCAGGTCTCAGGTGCAAGTGATCCGTAAATCTCCCACTCTCTCCCAATCAAGAAAGCATCTGTCTCTTTGGTGGTGCTTCATGATTGTGGGGGAGGATGGCTGGTGCACTGGTACCCCCTGTTCTGGAAGGAAACAATCATTGGCTTCCCCTTTCAGCAAAATCTTATGGTGAAAAGATCATTGCGCCCCATCTTATTTCTTCCCATAGCTTTTTCTCTCTTGCTTCGGATGCATCTGTCTATCCTTGCCTTCTCTGTGTATAAAAAGTATAGAGCATGAGATAACATGGCTATGCCAACCTGTCAAAAAGCCACCGGGTACCAGCTGCAAAAAAATGTCTTTCTACTGATTTTTTGATAGTAGAGTCTTGCCCAAAAATGTTTTATCAAGCCCCCTTGGAAACCCCCAAATTAAGTCGTGAGGAAACCTCACGGATTTCAAGATTAACCAGTGAGGATGGGGCATTTTTATTTAAGAAGCTCACTTTTTGGTGCACCACTTATGCTGACAAATATACCCCTAGTAGTTTAACCATTAGAGTCAACCTGACAATACTTCGAGATAGGGGATACATAATTTGGATGTGCCCGTCGCAGTGGTGATAGCCCCTTGTCCATTTGGTGGCCATGGGAGCAAGGAATGGCTGGCAAATTATAGGGCTTCCATTTCTGACCTTTTTCCTGTAGTTTGACATAAGATAATGCCTTCTACATGGCTGTCAGCACTACAACCAGCACATGGCTGCAACAAGCAAAGAATGTAGATAAGTCTATATATGTAACTTGGTTGTGTAGGTGCTATATTGGTTGAGTTCATCCTGTAGTCCTCCTGTGGTGTTTTTCACATCACAAAAAGAACTTCATGGTAGTAAAGATAGGCAGCTCTGCAGACCAGAAAAATTCCGCTGGTTTTCAACGTAGTAGACTAGTACGCGGTGTCACATGCGAAAGATCTCGTACTTTCCTACTTGCTAGCTAGACGTCGCCGAGCTTCGTTTTATGTAGTTAGGGCGAACATTTTTTGGTGACGCCAGCCTGTACGCACCGGTACCGTAAATACTTAGGGTAGTTACCGTGCCGTACCGGTACCGTATGGTAGCTCTTGCCAATGTACTAGTAGTTTCTCACGGCAACAATCCTGTGTTTGCAATGCAGCACCATTGGCCGATTTCACGATACGGTAGCTGCTAGCTAGCTGCCAACCTATTGCTTTGCTCAAAATGGTATGCGACCAGCTTTGTGCAGCTCCAAAAATCCTGATAGCGGCGTGGTCGGACGTCCCAATCCACCAAGACAGACAAAACATGTCTCTACAGCTACCACAGGCACGCACAACCCTTCGAGGACTATCATGTGAGTTCCGGGAGGTTCTGGTAGCTAGTTTCCAGTGAATCCCCCGGTCACTTGCAACATTGTCGTGTTGTCGACTGATCCTTTTAGTTGCTTTGACGGCTTTGTCTTGCGCTTCCACAATATTTTTGAGCTCTTGCTTCTTCGAGAAGGCTTGTAGCCTGTCATTGTGGCCGAAACAAGCTCCACATCAATGGGTCTTCAACCCGTAGATTGGGTATCGATTGTACGCCAGTGCTGCGTCAACTGCAGCTCATAGTTGTGGCCGTAACAAGCTCCACATCAATGGGTCTTCAACCCGTAGATTGGGTATCGATTGTACGCCAGTACTGCGTCAACTGCAGCTCATAGTTGTGGTCGAAACAAGCTCCACATCAATGGGTCTTCGACACGTAGATTGGGTATCGATTGTACGCCATTACTGCGTCGACTGCAGCTCGTAGTTGTGGCCGAAACAAGCTCGGCATCAAGGGGCTTCGACACGTAGATTGGGTAGCGATTGTAGTAGTACGCCAGTACTTTGTCGAGTGCAGCTCATCGAGCCAGAAGACCAGACCACATGAGGAGCTTAGTGTGCACAGAAATTTTGGTGTCGGCAGGAGGCAGATGCGAACGTTGACAACTCTACTGGGCGGTTTGCCAAAGCCTGACAACCAATTGAACCGAATACAAGATTCGCTAACCAATGGAGGCATCTGAACATATCCCTCAGGAATGCGGATCTATGGCATCCACTGTTTCGGCCTCTGGTGGTAGCAGGCGACAGCTGTGAAACGACTCGTTTTCCAATCCGTCACCCTCATTGAATGGAGTCCTGTAGTGCGACGAATCGATTTGCTCTGTGTCATCCTCGCAAGGGTTGGTTATCGCCTCCTTCAAGTCAGCAAAAACAGCCACTGCCTCTATTTGAGATTCTCCGACACTACGTGCTTTGGTGTCCTTGAATGAGACTCTCCGGCTTCTTGGGATTCTCTCGGATAACCGAGGAAACTGTGGTGGACCTGTAGGCTTTTCGACATTGTCACTGCTGCGGGAACGGCTTGGCCTTGCCCTTGTCCGGCCGACTACACGGGCATTGCCTTGGTTTGCGGGTGTCTCGCCATCTGTTTGGGATTTGCTTTGCCTTTTCGGCACCTGTTCCTCAATTTGGAAATGATTTTGGGTGGTTATTGTCGATTTGTCCGTTCCAAAATGGCTCTGCCTCAGCTTGAACATTCCTGAACGAATCTGTTTCAGACCTATTTCTGGCGTCAGGTCGTCTAATCCAGCCAACTTTTCAAAATGATCCAGTTGCTTTAGTGCCTGCTTCAATGAGTCCCTAGCATTTGTATTGGTTTGACTGAGCTGCAACAGCGCCTCCTCGTAATGTAGCTTTGACGCCTCACCGACCTCATCCACTTGTTCTAGCAGGAGTTGCACATACAGCAAAAGATCCATTTGTTGTTTTGACATTTTGTCGAGCTTTTTACGCAGATTGATGATTCGATGCCGTGATTCAACTTTGTCTTTGACATAGTTTTCCACCATGAGAATATCTTGTTGGTCTTGCACCATTTTGACGGCATCGCATACAACAGCAATAATTAAATTGTACAAGATGAAGGATGAAAACGTTACATAAGTGGAGAAAAGGTATGATGCCCATGGATAGACCTGCATGACCGCACGTGTAACCCTTGCCCAGTCGAGTGTCACCATGGCAAAGAGTGTGAACAGTGCGTCATCTAATCGACCAAAGTAGCTGTACGTCCCGGCTTGTGGGTCCTGGAATCGATCCGTGAAGTCAATCTCACCAAAGAGTTCTGTACACATGACGCCAAAGATATATATGATAAGGCAAAACATGCAGATAATGGCAGAAATTCGTGGCAAGACATCAAAGATTGCCTGTGGAAGTGGGAAAGGGTGCAAGCGAACATGTAAGAATACCCTACAAGAGGAGCTGAGTAAGGTGCATTATTGCTCACCTCTACTAGCCGCCTCAGAGCTCTAATTTTGGTGGTGAGGCGAAAAGCACGGAAGATGCGAAAGGAACGCAGCTTGAGCGCCCTTAGCACCGACACCGACTCGAGTGTCCAACTGGTGATGACAATAAAGAGATCGAACATCAACCAGCCATCGAAGAAAAGGCCATAGCCATGATAGAGGAACTGCATGATCAATTCGATAGTGAAAATGATGAGGAAGGCCAAGTCCAGTATTCTGAATGCTCGATAGGCATTTTCGTTGTTTTCGACAAAATCGAATGTTGCTAGCCCAATAAAAAGTGAGTTGAGGAGAATGAGGATGACAATGAAGATTTGGAAGCATTGGTCGTTGACAATCCGACCGGAGTAGTCGCGTACAACGTCTGTTTTGAGCCTGATGTCGTGGATAGTTTGTTCCAGACTATTCTTTGGCAATTCCTCTTCCTCTTCTTCATCATCGCTCTCAGGTTCACACTCACACTCGGCATTCCCACAACCACTGCAGACTTCTTCAGGAACATAGGGAGCCTTGAGCAGCAACCCATCCATAAACCTTGCTTCTCTCGCAATACGGCTGGCGACCTCGGACTGTGCAATAGTGGAAGCAGCCCGCTGAAGCCCCCCTGGCCGTCGAAGCCGAGCCATGCTTAAGGAATGCAGTAGACCTCTTCTTTCAGACGGAACATTTTCATCACTACTGGTGCCGCTGCTGGCCTCTGGACGGTGCCGTTGGCTGCGGTGGGACTGCACTTCTACTCCATTCGTCTCATGGTGAAGACGGCCCATGGGATTCATAACGGATGAATTGTCGTGTTTTCCACAACCGTCTTGATCGATAGCGGTGCCTCAGAACACCATTGCCACTGAACTCTCTCTGTTGGCGTTTGCTTATAACATACCCTTGGCTTTTCTTTGCCTCATCGTCATGAAACAGTGGTTGAAGCATTGCGCTCTCCGATATATTGGGCGGTGCCAATGGGGTGCAGATGACGTGTCAAGTCTTAGAGATGACAGTTTTCATTATTCATCTTACACTTGAACCCTAATGACGCACGAATCAACGTTTTTACTAACCAAAGCAGAAATATTTTATAAATCGAATTCCAAATTATCGAACCTTCCCCTCGGAAGCAGATTTAGTGAAATTGAAACCTAAAACATAAAACGCGTAAAACGGAAACATAAATTTTAATAAAAAGGCACCCAGAGGCAATTGGCGTTTTCGGGCACGAAAAGCAGTCCAACGAAACTGGCCACTCACACTCCACTCACATGCCAGGCACCCACATGCCAGGCAAGAATGATGCGATGTACGTTGTACATGGATGAAGCTACCTGTTTCGGCTGCAGAGGATGGTCATGCCAGGTAGGCAATGACAGCTCCATAAGAAGAAGATAGCAACTGCGAGAATTTATGAAATCAATGCCAGGCAAAACTAGAATCGAATCACCGCTTTGACCTTGCTTTCCCATACTTCTTTTTCTTGTTGGTCTCTGCAACATCAATCTCTTGGAAGTAGTGCGGGGCAAACTCTACAAGCCATTCGGGCTCAATTGGAGCAACTTGCCTCATGAATTCTTTGGTCGTAAATGCAAGTTCAAAGTACACAACCCACGTAGGTGGCTTCTCGTCCTTTGCCATCACACTACTTGGATGGATATACACAGTTTTGTGTTGCTTCACAGTCTGATATTCACCGGAGCGCCCCAGCCGTGCAACATTGTAAAAGAAACCTGCAGTGATGGCTTTCATCGGGGGCTCGACTTCGCCATCTACCGAAACTGCGGGATCGATTTCCACTCGCTCACAGAGACCCTCCAACTGCTCTCGAATGTCACGAGCTTTCCGAATTGTTCGCAACTGCACAAAGTTCTCCATGCACCAAATTGAACTGTAGTTGGACTGGGCCCAGTCGTGATAGCAACGATACAAGGACATGTGATCTCCTCCTCCGCCACGAGCAAAGTTCATTCGAGCTGTGTCCGCAAGGAGAGCTTTATCTTTGGGTCTATAGAAGACACCGGCTCCCAGAGACAACATTGCCACCATTGACAAAATCTCTGACATGCACTTCAGCTTCTCAGAAACTATAACTGTTTTGCTCAGCATTGGATCCTGGGAGTTGCGAAAAGGAAGGTGGGTGAGGATGGTGTCATGCAGGGGTACACGGGACTGCAACGCTACCAGCTAGCACCTACCAGTGGGAATTCTGCCATTCTCCGACCTAGCTTTGTCAAATCTCCCCTGTCGTTGAGGGCTCCGAGCGCATACAACTGTTCCAATGCACGGATAAGAGAATCAGACGGAGGGCGATCCATAAAGTCAAAGTGGAGCAGATTGTTCACGCCTAAACTCTTTAGGAGAAGCACAACGTTCCCCATGTTTGTTCTTGCAATCTCTGGTATTGTATTTGGTTCAAGTTCATTCTGGAAAGACCAAGCTGTGAAAAGCCTGAAACACTTCCCTGGTTGAGTTCTACCACCACTTTAACCACAGGAGCAACAAAAAGAATGTGAGCAAATAAATCGAAACCAGGCTGCCAGTTGTAACTACTAGCATGTTCCAAGACGAAAGCTGCTCCTTACCGTCCTGCCCTTTGATTCGCTGCAGCCTGCGATATTGGAGTTACGATCAAACTCTCCATCCCATACTTTGCATTGAAGGACTTCTGTTTCTGGAAGCCAGTATCAATCACATATCTTTTTTAAGGCAAAGCAATACTTGTAAGAAATCATCTCTGGCAACACAACAGTTGAACATCAACAGGGGCGAAGCTTACTTGATACCATCAATTGTCAGACTTGTTTCGGCTAGGAATTTGAATAGAAAACGTGCACGGAGACAATGTGAGGACGACATGTCATACTGAATGGCAGAGGATAGTCAGAGGATAGTCAGGCAGTCTGCTCACCAATGTTTGTGGCAAGCACCACCTTCCGGCTTCCTTTGGGCGTCTTCTCAAATATTTTTGCTTGTTGCTCCGACGGGAGGTTAGCGTAGATAGGGCAGATAATAAGCTCTGGAATCCTCGACCCAAGACTGTGCGCACACAAGAACAACAGCGATAAGTAAAATGGCAAACAAAATTGTGCACGTTGCAACACGAGCAGCTTACTTTCTCGTCCGCATTGTGAGAATTTCGCCCGCTGCCTCAATTTCTTCTTGACCTGTAAGGAAGACAAGGACGTCTCCATCCAGTGGCTGAGAAACGTGGATCTGGAGCACCGTTACAACACTCGCATCTACATAGTCTGACTCGGGTGCCTTGGTATAGTAAATATCCACAGGAAACATACGACCCTAGAAAGAACCCAAGGATGATGAGCAATTGACATGCACGCGTTGCTGTTGCTAAACCTGTCACCAAACTTACCGGGATCATGAAAATACTAGCATTGTCGAAGAATGTGGAGAACTTCTCTGCATCAAGAGTCGCACTGCTCACAATCAATTTCAAATCACTGCGATAACGGACAATATCTTTCAAAAGCGTCAACAGGATGTCCTAAACGAATACGAAGAGCGAGCTATGAGCTTGACGAGCCTGATGATGGCTAAGCAAGCAAACAACAAGCAAGGTCGCGTCAACTTGCTTACCGTACTCAGCGTCCTTTCATGAGCTTCATCAATAACAATGCATGAGTAGCCGGATAGGTCTGGTTCCGTTAGGATTTCCCGAAGTAGCATCCCATCAGTCATGTACTTAAATCATCAAAAGGACAATTTGGTTAGAGTGCCAACTACCCTGGACGAGAACAACTAAGCCACCCATGCAATTCATCCTTACCTGGATGATGGTCTTTGGGCTGGTGCAAGTCTCAAAGCGAATGGCGTAGCCAACTTCATGCCCCAAGGTGACATTCATCTCTTGGGCAACTCGAGCAGCAACACTCATCGCTGCCACACGCCGTGGCTGTGTACATCCAATTTTGCCCAATTTGCTGTACCCAACCTCGTGAAGGAATTGGGGGATCTGGTTTGAAGAAACTTGCTCTGTTAGTTGCTGATATAGAAAGAACGCTTATGGAGAGCACATATTGTCAAGAACTTACCTGTGTAGTTTTTCTTTGTGATTCCATGAACAAGTCAAGTATTAAGAGTGAGATTTGTTCTAGGTAATGTAGCAAACAAGGACAAACAAAGGTAAAACATTCCAAAGAACAGAACTTACCCACTACCAGTTTCTCCAACTAGAATCAAAACTCGGTGGTCTTTCACTGCCGCCAGAAGCTCTTCTCTGTAGGGATAAACTGGCAATCGCTTTCGACCAGCCAAGATCTTTTGGTGTTCAGTTTCCTGAGGTGTGGATTGTGGTGCTTCCGGTTTGGCTTCTTCCTTTTCTTTTGTGCTTGTGCGTCTTCGTGACGCTGATTTGGCCCTGTCACCCCTTCGATCGTGTCCTTTCCTTGTCCCCTGCATGACAAAATCAATCTTGTCATCAAAGACAAGTTCGTAGTCTTGCTCATCCTTCTTGTGTTTCTTTTTCACAATTGTTGCCTTGTTTGTTTGAGCCTCCTGCCACAACTGTTCTTCAGTCTTCTCGTGCTTTTCTTCAACATAACGAGAACTGAGTTTGTCTTGGTCTTGCTTTGCCTTGCTCTCTTTGTCGTCGTAGCTATCAGGCAATCTGTAGCCATCTTGGATGGCATCTCGCCCTTCCCTTTCTTCTACCATGCCCAAAATCTTCTTCCCAAGCGTGATCCTCTTTTCTTCTGCCTTTGTGAGTTTGACTCCCTTGAAGAGAGTTTCTTCATCGGCCAGGGACTTTTGAAGGAGATCCACTTCTCGTTGCTCTCGACTCTTGAGATAAACTTGTCGGCTCTTTTCTCTCAATTGCTCAACTGTCATGTTCTCTTCTGTCTCTTCTTCTTCTGCTGCTTCTCCCGTGGCATCTTTCTTTTCAGGCGGAGAGACGGCTTCGGGAGATCTCTTCTGTTCACCGTCATTCACCCCTGAATCCTCTGGTCGCGACCTCTTTCTTGTCTCCTTTGTGTCATCACTGACGGCTGAAACACGCTCCTTTTCCCTAGTCTCTTCAACAACATCTTCAGTTTTCCGTTTTGGTGCTTTGCTACGCTTCTTCTTCTTTTCAGGGTCGGACGACGATGGATGACAGCGTCGAAACAGATCCTTCGCAAACTCTTCCACAAGACGGTCGTTCTTCCCTTGAAGGTGGCCTCCTTCTTCGAACACCTTGACAATTTCCTGAACGCTCGAGGCCTTGTCGGCGACGTCCACTAGAAACGTGGCCAGGGATTTATCTGAAAAACCCAGCACATCGTGGAGCTGGTCAGAACACCAAGTCTCGAGAGACTTCTTGCCCATGGTGGAGAAGGATCCAGGGAGCTACGTACTGTACAGCTGGAATATTTCAGTTGGAGGGCTGATGGAACGGGTCGATTGCATGGAACATCGTCTGGAGATGGCCTTCACAAGCTGCGATCTTCGTCTTGGAGGCTGGAGGCGACATGAGGATGTGGGATCGATGAGGGACGACGAATGATTGAATCGAATGATGAATCGATTCTTCAATCAATCGATTCGATTGAGATTGAATTGAATCGAATTCAAAAATTCGGCTGAAGATTGTTGACTGACTCGACTCGACTGTCTCGACTGAGACTCGATTCGATTCGATTCGATTCGATTCGATTCACGCCTGTGGCTCGCTGAGCTGCTGAAAACATGGAACAGCTCTACTTGGTGTACAGTAGCTACTTGTTATTAGATAGAATGCAATAACCTCGATACTTAGCAAATCGCAACACATAGCAAGCCAAACAAGAAGGACAATGATCAAGGTCTGGACGAGTTGGGGACACTCCGCTTGGAGCTCTTTGATGATGTTGTACCGCTGACAGTGAAGAATTTCGTGGCTCTGCTGAAAGGACAGGGCCGATTGACGTATCACCATTCTACACACTGTGATGGGACTGGTGGAGTAAGCGTCTATATGAAAAACTTTTGATGAATGAGAATTTTGTTCTGAAGTACAAAAGCAAGGGGGCCTTGAGCATGGCAAACTCTGGAAAAACACCAATGGATCCCAGTTCTTTGTCACATTACGCAGACCCCACATCCATTTTGATGGCAAGCATGTGGTTTTCGGGCGTGTGGATCTGAGGCAGAGCAGTCAATTGCTGAGAACACAAGAGCAAGTCAAGACTGATTCAGGGGATGCACCCCTTAAACCTGTCATTGTCGTGGACTGCGGCGTGGACTGCGATGTTGTTCCGTCCATTGGTGGTGAGGGTACGGTACCGTACCGTCCGCAGATTTACACAAGGGTGCACTTACTGCTGATGGCAAAAGCTCTGATTGGCTGTGTGGCCTTGTTGGTTTGGATGATTGTTGAATCCTTGGCACAATTTACCACCTCAAAATATGGTGACGGAATTGATCGTCTTTTTGTTGTTCTTGGGAAAGACTTCATGTGGCTTCCCATGCAGGCCCGAAGAAGTCAACAATTCAAGCCTATCCAAAGATTACGCTCCGATCACCGCTCACTCGGGACAAGCCTATCATGCAATCAGTGTATTATTATTTAGTTGTGTTGGACCTGTTGTTCCATTGTTAGTTAAGTTTCATCTTTGAAGCTGATGAAGACGCAAGCAGTTGAATCTTTTTCCTAAAAAACCCTAGAGACGAGACAGTCTGAACAAACGGGGCCGACAAAAACCTGTCGATGGGCTTGGTTGTCATAATGTACCATATGTTTCTGGATCTTGTCACACGAAAACAACAATAGATAGCTGGTTGCCAGTTTTCTGTTTCTAACCGTGCCTTCCATCGCTTCTTCTTCGTATCCACCGGTACCTACGGTACACCAAGTTGGAGCGAGGATGTCGTATTAATAGCAACAAGCAGCCAGTGTCCCAATTTACTTTGACTCTTCGGTGGCATGATTGCTTTCATCGAGCTCGTTGTCTACGGAATCGCCTTGAGTTTCCGTAACTTCGGGTACTTCGTGGCCATGCTCTTCATCGCTCCCAAGCGGTTTGACGACCATTGGCTCGGTTTCCCCCTCGTAAGGCTGAGGCTTGGACGCCGCGCCTTTTTTGCGGATATCGACCATGCTTCCTTCCTTGTGCCGAAGCATCCAACGGAAAGTATCTGTGAACTCGATGTCTGGACTCCGAATGGTGCGCAACGCCTCTGAACGGCAGTCCCATGTAGTCCTGTCGAATGCGCGGAGCTTTTCATCCTCCGGTATCGAATAGTTCGCCTCTTCCTTCTCTCGTAAGTTCTGAACATGTGCTTTGACGACAAAGGTGTTGAGAAGGGCAAGCCCGGCTGTCAAAGGAACAAGGAGGTAAGAACCTCCAGCGATGGATGCCTCAAGAGCAAAGCATTGGGCGTCGTTCTGGGAAAGAACGCCGTAGTACACTAGCAAGTTGAGAGTGAAGTCGAGGCTCGTGCAGAATTGATTCAGCATCAGTTGTGACACGGAGCCTAGTTGCCTGGAAAGAACAAGATAAAATATGCACGGTGAGATCCAGCTGGAAGCGTCCTCGCACAGTCTCCTTGAGATTGCTTGCACTCACCAACTCTCGATGATCACTGCTAAGATGTATACCTCGGAATACTGCCATGCTTGCAGAATCTCAAGGAAAACTGCAACTTTCTTTCTTTGCACAGAGGTAAGGGGAGCAAACCAATGGAACAGAAGTGTTGCTATCTGAAGAATCGGAACGACCAGGACAGTCGATATGAAAAGGAACGCCAAGAATGCAAGTCCAATATAGTTTGTGATTCCTCCCAAGAACTTTGCTTGCTCCATGAGGAGTTGGGCAATAGAGAAAACGCCCTCATATCGCACCGCCTCTTGGAGATCTTGGCCAAGCTCGATCATTAGTCCAACGACGCCCAACGTCTCCAGCTTCATTGAAGGGATGTCACAGCTCACGACCATTAGCACGCAAGTCAGAAGAGAAGCAAAGAGCAATATGGGGTTGACGTAGCGTCGGACGATCAATAGTGCTGCCCCAATACGGTGATTTCTTGAAAAGGAATGGCGGCAAAGGTTCGATTTCATGTCGTCGTCATCATTCGATGAGATGACGAGATCTTTCACGCTCTTAGTCTCAGTTACTGGGCTTTGTTCTGACAAAGGTGCTTCCAACGCTTTCTCGTACGTTTCCTTGGCTTTCAAAGTCATGCGGCGATGGTAGTGCACAATGAAATGAGAGCTCACCTGAGAGATCACTTGAGCTATCATGTTGGCGTACAAGCCCCACATGGGAACCACGAAGAGTTCGATTGCGTACAAGTCGGGTGGAACGAACGCAAGATCGGGGTTTTTGATTGACACTCTGAAAAACGGGGAACGAGTGAGCAAACGTCTGGAGCATCCATTGTACCATGTAGAAGGAAGATGTAGTGGGCATTGACGGCGATCCTTACCTGAAGCCCGCAACTGTGATTATCATCACAATAATATCCAACATGGACCATTTAGCCAAAATATCGAGCCAAAGAAGGAATTGACCTCGTCGATTGGACGAAACAACGCCTGGCGGGAGGAACCACAGTGCCAGGGTGATGAGCTGTTTTGTGTAGGGCCACACTCCAGAAAACAGGAGGATCAGCAGTGCAAGCTCTTTGCCACCTGCGTGCCACATATCGATTGTTGATTGCCCAATAGAAAAGATGAAGAAGTCGTCAAGCGTGAAGGTCTCGCCAGCAATGACAAAACTGACGAGAACTCTTCCACCATCGTTGAGATGTCCGCTCAAAAAGAAGCCAATGTTCACCACGATGATGACAGGGATAAGCTGTCGGAGGAAGAAAGGAATCTCAGTACTGCGGTACATGGAAGTCGAAAGTGCATTGACTGCAGCCTCATCTTGGTCTTCCTTCTCTTGCCTTTGCTGAATCAAGAATATCTGCTCACTGGGCAAAGAGGCAAGCCACTTTCGCTGTCGCCGACCGACGAGTCGCCTCACGAGCAGGACAGCAGCGAGGGCAAATCCCAGTGGGGCAAAGATCAGTGTCATGATGGGGATGTAGGAGCCAGCAGGAGGCTTCGCCGATTGGAACATTTCGTATACAAGAGGTCTGGCTTCGGGATCATAGTCGTTGCTATGACTACAATGCCTGGGAGCATTGACAAGTAGACGGTTGATTTGATCTTGGAGGAACGCCCCTCCAAGCTTATCGGTAATGGTTGCGATGACACGGTTCGCAAGATCTGTCACATCTTCAGACGCTCCTTCTGCCGAAAGTAGCCTTGAAAGTTCCAAAAGGGCCGGGCTTGTGCAGTTGTGACAATCGAGGGCCAGCTTTAGCTTGCTGGCTGAGAAGTCCATATTGGTTATTGCTGCAGTCAAGTCTGTTCCTGGTTCAACGAATCCATAGATATCCAGCAGAGGAGGAGGAATAAGAGCAATCCAACAATTGATGTTGAGAATATCTCGGATTGGGAAATTCACAAAGGCATCCTCGGATATTTTCAAAAGGATCGCCAGCACGACCGTTGCCGAATGAATGTCAAGGCTCAGGTCAAAGTCATTGACAATGTCCACGCCATCTGAAGACGAAAGATAGGAAATGTTCAGAAGATGTTTGCAGTCACAAAGTGAGATTCCCCACCGCGAACAATTTTCTTACCGAACCCTTTGATGTGCATGTAGATGCGAGCACCAAGGACGACTGGTCGTGGACCCACCCCAAACGTTCCAGTGTTGTTGAGCTGATGCGCTTCCTCTTTGATTGGCGCCAAGATGGACAGTGGGGGGCCAATGCTGTCAAGATTGAGGACGCTCAAATCCGAGACTCTCAGAGTAATGTCGGCGTGGAGCTGCCTCACATCGAAGCGAATACCTTGGTTCAGCAGTACTCCCGGGAATGTTAGGTTTCCAATGACGGGAGTCAGCATTTCAAGACCATTTTCTGGATGAGGATCCAGCAACGATAGCTTGGATATTCCATAAGCCGTGCGAATGAGATCTCCATACTGCTCATCGCCACTACCCCCATATTTATTTGACAGCCAAGGGGAAAGCAAGAAGTCACGGAAGTCGACGAAGCCTGGGCTGTTGTCGCCAAAGGAGAATTCATCACAGCGGAAGTCTGAATTTTGAAGATATGATGTAATCAGGGAGTTCAACAAAGGCCTAACAGCAACGCTGAATAGAGTTGGCGTCGCGTCAGCCAAAACCTCGCCAAACCTATCCAGTAGCATGCTCTCAAGACCCTCCGCAGCCTTGGCAGTCTTTTGAGATCTGAATCCTTTTAGCTGCAGCTTCGAGATCTGTCCAATATCTACCTTCACCTTCGACAGTTCCACGTGCCTTACAGCTGCTTGGATGCAGGGTAAAATATACGCCATGCGAAGCAGTGACCCAAGCTGCAAATTCTTCAGCAGTTCGTAATCGAGTGCAAGCATAAGCTCCATGGAGGTCTGAATGTCTGAAATCTCAAAGGTCGCGGTGTAGTTTGATAATTCTCCAGTCTGCAGGACTTTGGCCTCGAGCGTCACCTCAAAGTGCAACCTTTCCCATCCAAGCTCATTTTGGAGCGAGGTCGGCCCGTCGATATCCAAGATGCGGAACTTTGTGAATGTGTCAATACCAGACATTTGGAAAGTTTTCACGGAGATCTTGACGCCGTTGGCTTCCAAACCGAAGTCTTCGAACTCCATGCCATAAGTATCCAGTTCAAACAACGGGTTTGCACCAAGTAATTCGTTGATTCCGAGGCTAGATTCTCCCGTCACCGGGTCGATGGACGGTTCCCCCAGGTAAGAATTCAACCCTTCAAGGAAGTACTTTACAAGCCCTCCAACGGGATAAGTGTCCAGAGCAGTAAAATCGACCAGCCTTGTCTCGGGAGGAAAATTTGGTTCTGGATCCTTGAAAATGGGCTCGACATTCTCAGTTCCCAGCACTGACATGGTCTCCGCCAACACCACTGCCCCAACTTGGAAGAACGCGAACACAGCGAATGTTCCAGTTTCAAGCATGTGTGGAGTAATGGGGGGTACTTCGGGGCTAACAAGCACTATGTTGTTCTCTTCTAGACTCGCAGTGCGTGGGCACCGCCTCATGGAACCTTGCAAGAACCTCAAAAGCCACACTTGGACAAAGTCAGATTGAAGAAGACGGATGGAATCTTCCAGCACTCTTCGTCCCAAATCATCCTTGGCACCGGATTCTTGAAGGATGTCCAAAAGTTCTGGGAGAACCAGAAGCCCAGGAGTGCTACAGTCCGCGCAGGAAGCACCAAGGTGGAAATTTGAGAAGACGATACCAAAGTACTCAATGGCAAGTGCTGGGTCGATTTCAGTTTGCCCTCGTGCAATCGCCGCCAATGTCGGTGCAACCAACGTCGACAGCCAGCAGTGAATGTGTCCAATATATTGGAGTGGATAAGTCATCAGTTCCTCTGCACCGATCCTGGCCAGAATTACAGCAAACAATGGTACCTCGTTGAAGGCTGCGAACAATTCGATCTCATCATCAGTATTCATGAATGCACTTGCAAAGCGGAGCCTTGATTTGACTGCCAATCTGAGCGGGCGAAGTTCGGTCCCAAGAGTTGCGCGGTTGTCAAGCAAGAACCCATTAGTGGCGTTTGGCTCGAGAAGTTCTAGCGGCTGTCCCATCGTGTCAATGTTTTCAATTCGAGCGTCCAAGAGCTCGAAGATGACATGGTCAATGCCCGCCTCCTCGAATCCCTGAAATGAATGGGCAAACATATCCCCTTGCACTGCAACGGTTCCCGGGATGCCTGACTGCATTGCTGTCAAAGGTGCAATAATCATGTCATTCACTTTGGGGAGCTCAGTCACTGGGTCAACTGTTTGAAGGACGGAATCTAGCATGTTCTTGACAAGAGGAATCAAGTCTCCATAAGCATTGGAGCTGCGATCGTCGGGTGTTAAGAAAAGCTCTCGAAAGTCAATGTATGGGGAAGAGGAGTCGACTGAGAAGTGTTGGCATTCTGTCTTCTCCACGCCCTTGAGGTATTCGTTGACTACCTTTTTCATGGTGCCATCAAAAATCTTCGGTATGGAGCTGGTGATAGTTTCTCCGAATTGATCAAGAACTGTGCTGATCGATTCGCTAAGCGCACTGCCCGTCTCTGGAAGGAAACCGTGGACGGAAACTCCCACAATGTTTTTAACTGACACAAGTAACTCTTGAACCCTGACGCCAGCAACTGTAGACAACAGACAAGGCAGAATATTGGTAGTATGGAGCAAGGAACCGATGTTGATAGAGGCAAGACGTTCTCCATCGACAGCAAAATACACGGGAACGGACACGTCAATGTCTTGCAGCTTCAAAGAGACATTGACATGTTTGGGTGGATCAGGTGTCTCAAGGACGTCCACGCTCATGTTCAACCCAACGTGCAACTCGCCCAGGGTAAAATTATTGGAGAAAACTCGTGGGGCAATCCCATGGAGCACCTGGAAGCTTGAAAACGATGTCAACCCTTGTAGTTCAATGTGATGGAAAGTCAACGCCAGCCCTGATACCTCGAATGCAAAGTCACCCAAAGGAATACCAAAGTGGCCATCGCTTCCTAGGTTGTCTGCGATCATGGTGTTGATGGCCAAAGCCTCGGCAGTGGAACCCGTCGGACCATTGACGTAGTCCTTGACGAAATCAAGGATCTGTCCAATGAATGGAACGTGAGTATCATTCAAGTCTGTCCAGTCAAGTAGAACGCTTGACTCCGACAATTCTTCGAGTTCATCGATATCTTTGGTTTTCGACTCAACTGTTCCTTGGGTCTTCAAATCAACGGCACCCTGTACGTGGTTGTCAGCAATCAACACTGTGACTATCTCCGCAGCCAGCGCGGAGGTAAAGAGAAGGGAATCCAGGGACAACTCGGAAAGAGGAGGAAATGGAGGCGGAGCGGATTCCACTTCGGTGCTTAGTGGACTTTGACTGAAAAGTGGGCTGTGAGGACACATCCTTGCTGCGTCGTCACCGAATTGAATGAATGTCTTCATGATCGACCGAAACCAAGGTCCAGTTGCTATTTCTTGAACAAGGGGACCAATCCTGTTCCCTAGAACCTCCGAGACTCCAGAATCGTCCAAAACTTGAATTAGTTCGGGAAGGACGGGGTTGGTGCAGTTCGAACACTCCAAAGCCATGGACAGAGAAACCAGGCGCATCAAGAGTGTCTTCAGTTCAAGGCCAAAAAGATTACTCGTAGCAGCGCTTGTACTTGGTGTCGCCACCATTGCAAGCCAGCAATGAAGCTCGAGAATATCTCCAAGAGGGAACTTGAATAGTTTTCCCTCATCCAGTTGCAATCCAATATCCGCAAAGACATCAATTTCACTTACTGAGGCAGTGATATTGAATTCATTGTGCATGTTTAACAGCGGGAGGCTGCCCCCCATTGCAATGGAAACGCCAAGCGTCGTGTTCACGGGGCGCCCTGAAACAGGCCCGAAGTTGATCATATTCTCGAGGACGTGCGCTTGATGAGACGGTTGCAGAAGTGACAGGGGCCCGACAAGTGTGTTGATGTTGTCTATACGGGCGTCAAAAATGCTCGCTTCAAGCCACTGTTCCAATGACGTCAACGGTCCCATGGGGAGCAGCTTCAATGCTTGGGAGAAGAAGTCGCGTTGAAATCGTAGCGAACCTTTCGTCCCTGATTGTCCCTCGGTGAAAGAATCAACAACCATGGAATTCACATCTAGTAGCCCATCACTTTCATCGCCATGCAGGATGCTTTCATGCAGCATTGAGAATACTGTCGGGAAGAGATCACCGTATGGCTGCATTCCTGAACCACCCAATCGTAATGCATTCTCGGGTGTTAGCAACAGGTCTCTCAAGTCAATGATGGCTTTTGAGGCCCCATCTGTAGCTACAACTCCATTGTCCGGACGGCTCGCGCAACTTGAACTGTTCAAGGAACTAGTTAGAAAGTTGTTGATCACGCCTCTCAATGAAGTATCGAAAGCCATGTTGAGTGCTTCCACCATCTCAGAACCAAAATTCTCGAACAATTCCTCCATCGAACGAGACACTGCCTGGGCTGCATCGGGGAGGAGCCCACCGACGGTGGGATTTGAAATATTGCCAACCGATACGAACATTCCCGATACATGCATGTCATTGACTGCAGACATTGCACATGGTAGGATATTGTCGACAAAAAGAATGGAGCCAATCTCGATGGCAGCCAACTTCTCCATGTCAACCGCAACAAACAAGGAAGCAGTAAGGTTGACATCCGCCACATCGAGGGAGAAAGAGTAGGGGCGCGGCGGGTCTTTTGTGGACGTTGCATCTAGGCTCACATCGATCTTGAGTGACATGCTGTCTAGCACAATCGTATTCTGAAGCGTTTGGGGTTCGACAGGATCAAGGATATAGAACTCGACAAACGAGTCGAGCCCAGTCACTTCCACCGAATCCACCGATATCTTCAAACCTTCTAGCTCGAATGATGAGTTTTCGAGTGAAAGACGCCAGCTGCCGTCGGCATTCAGGTATTCACCTAGGATCTGGTTCACTCCAAGAGATCCAGAGTCTTGGGGACCCAAATAGGCTCGCGCCATTTCAAGCAAGTCCCCAGCAAATGGAATAAAGGTTTCATTAAGCCTCGTCCAGTCGAGTAGACTTCCATCGACTTCCACAGTGTCTTGAAATTCTACTTCAGACACAAGGGAGTCGGGTATGGTACCGTTCGTATCAGCCAAGTGGCTCTCGGCAAACAACACAGCGATGATTTCAGCACCAACAACAGTTGCAAAGACCAATGAGTCGATTGAGCGATTGGAAAGCGGTGGCATCGGCAGTGACAGCTCTTCCTGTTTTGTCTCCACGGAGGTGTTGTATGTCGGAGAGTGCGGACAAAGTGTTGCAGCCGATTCTCCAAGTTTTAGGAGTTCGGTGATAAACGACGATGCAACATCACTTGTCATAACATCTTCCAAGAGCAGACTCAACCTGTTTCCGAGCGTCTTTGTTACGCCAACTTCCTCAAAGGTCTCTAGCACTTGTGGCAGGAAAATACTTGTGCAGCTCGAGCACTCCAAGTTTAAAGTCATCGAGGCAATTTCCGCCAAGAAATCTTGTATCGCCACACCGTCAATTCCTTTTGCCTTCATAGTTGGAGTTTGGAACAGCGCCATCCAACAGTTGACATTAAGAATGTCTGTGATAGGGAACTTGAGAAACCTGAGGACGGGTACCAATATCTCGAGATTTGCCAAGACATCAAGCTCCAGAGTCGTCGCATTGATGCCTATTTCATTTCGCAGTGTTATGGGGGTATTGACCCCGCCAACGTCAACGTTCAAATCCAACGTTGTGGTCAACAGTTTGCCAGGTACTGGGCCAAAGTGCAGTATGTTCTCCAACACGTGCGCTTGGTTCGTGGGCTGAAGAAAGCTGAAAGGGTTGACAACGGTATCGACATTTCCAACACTGGCGTTGAAGGCTCTAATATCGAGATGCCGCATGAAGGACCCGAGGGAGTCGAGCATTGAAGTCTCCAACGAAAAATTGAATAGTTGCTGACTGTATTTGAACATTCCTGCTATACCTGACTGCGCTTCCGTAAGCGGTTGGATGACTTCGGTGTTGATCGTTGCCATACCCGTAGCATTGTCTGTGGACGCCATCTTGTCTCGCATCATACTAAACGCCATAGCTATGAGGTCGCCGTAAGGTTGTGTACCCGAACCACCAAGACTCTTAGCTTCCTCGGGTGGAAGAAGCAAGTCACGGAAGTCAATGAAACCGGCGGAAAGTTCGTCATCGTCGCCAAATCCAAGAAATGAAGTAATTTTTTCAACCACTCCGGTCGTGCTTGCTGAAGTTGAACCAGTTTCGCTGCTCGTTACAACGGTTACCGTCACGGGCTCTCCCGGTGCCGGTGCAGGTGCAGATGCCGAGGCGCCGGTGTCGTAGGTGGTGATCTTTTCTTCACCAAGGTTGAATGTCAACGATTCACCACTGCTGCCACTGCTGGTGCTGGTGCTGCCAGTATCGTCGAAGAAACCAGACGAGATGATAACAGAACCGCTTTCTGATGGAACACAAACCGCTTGCGAGGCAATAGTTCGGATATAGCACTCCAAGAAGTCATTCACAATTACTGTGACGTTGTTTTGGAAGATGTTTGGCACTGCCGTGAGGATGAGGTCTTGGTACGTACAAATTGCAGCTTCAACGGCTGTATTGATCAGTTCATCAACTCCCGTATCGATTACACCCTCAACCACCGCGGTGCCAACTTCCTGTACTTTGACGTCTAGTTCTGACACACCGGCAGCAACAAGTGTGGACTGTAAACAAGGTAAGAGGTTGGTGGTGTTGACGAGATCTGCAAGTGTCAACGAGTTGACTCTCTCTTCGCTCAGGCCAATCAGGTATGATGCTGTGACTGTGATGCCATTGATGGGGATTGTCGCCGTGATTTTCTCGCGACGATTCAATCCATTGATATCAAAATCGACCGTAAACATGACTCGGAAACCAAGCCCTTCGAGCTCAAGGTCGGTTCGGAGGGTCTGCTTCCCAATGATCTCCAAGAACATTGTGTCCTTGAACGTGTTAAGGCCCACAATTTCGGCTCTGTCTAGCGTGAAGTTATTCAAAACAAACAGGTTTTCGGTGTCAATAATGGGGACGTCAGTCTGTAGTCTGCGCCAAAATCCTGCAGGGAGGATTGGTTCCAAAATGTTGGTAACTGGTTCAAAGTCCAAGAGGTTGCTGACGGGCTCCAAGATGTTAGAGACTTCTGTTTCAAAGAGTTTGCGCACATCATGAGCAAGTTCTTTCAATGGATTGAGTTCCCTCCTGCGAAATTGGAGGCAATCTCCAATAGATTGCAGGTGACGTCTACGTCCGCTGTTGACGATCTCGAGAGCTCCCTTCTTGTTTAGAACATTCAATTCGATGAAGGTGTTGATCTGGAATGCGCCAATGACTCCTTGAAGGTTGTCGATGAAGACCTGGAGCACGTCTCCGAGCGTGCTGTCCGTTAGATCAACTAGTTCTTCATCCACGTTCAGGTCTTTCTCGAGTTGCAATGGGTCGATGTTCCCCACCTTTCTTAGATACGGCGCAAGGGTGTCTCCTAGTGACACCAGTAGCTCATCGACAGTGCTCGCGAAGTCTGCCACAAAGTCACAGACAATATCAGATATCACTTCAACTTCATTTCGGACAATTTCAATGATAAGGTCCGATAGCTCGTTCAAGATTTTCGACGAAAATCCACCAGAAGAATCAATACTTGCGAGGTTGATCAAAGCCTCGCAACCCGAAAAAGTGGCTGTGTCCGGTGGCGATCCTTTCAGCGTGACAGCAATTTGGAAGTCACTGTCTTTTATAACGATCCGAATCTTCAGCTTATCACTAACATCGAGCACTCCTAGATCCCAGTCCACTTCGAACTGACACTTGACGTCCAATTTGTTCACTGCCACTTTGTACGTCAGCGTGCTCGAACCGCCTTTCTTGTAATCCAAGAAGACGCTGTCGATTTGAATCCCTCCGCAGGTACCAATGACGTTGACAGTGGCCGTCACACCGATTACATCTGTCATGAGGTTCAGTTCGGGAACGTTGATTACAAATGTTGCGAGAATTTCGTTCAAACCACCAAATTCGAGATCATCTTGGCTACTGCTACTCAGGTCTCGACTTTTGGGGACGTTTTTCGGATGAGCTCGATCCGTCGTAATCGTACCATCCTGGGCCCATGTTTTGACTTTGTTTCGAATATCCGCTTCCACTGCCGTTTCGACGGCTTCTCTCGACAACACGCCTGGATAGCCCTGGAGGGACGTCAAGTTAGGCACGGCATGGCTGCTTTCCGGGCCCCAATCGATCTCAGCTGCCGAGGCAGTGGCTGCTGCGGCGAGGGCAGCTATAGCGTATATCATTCGTCCTAGGATCCTCATCGTCTCTGAAGGCTCCAACTCTGACAAGTCTTTATGGTATTGAACAACTCTTGTGCAACGAAAGCTGTTTCTGCTGAGAGGTATTATTATCCTTTGGTGGTGATCTATTCAATCAGAAGAAGAGAGTTGAATAGGCTGCGACGATAGGTTGCTGATAAGCTCAAATGTAGTATGCTTCTCCATTGTTATACTCACTCGGTTGGACCTGCCAGTGAGCACGGGATTTTTGGAAGGAGAATTTTTGTGCAAAACGGACTAAAATGTGAGCGTTTGGAGCTGCGTTTCGTTGGATCTTTTCGACCTGTGATGAATTTGCTGGAAGACCGTTTTAGATAGGTAGACGCGGTAAATATAGGGCTAAAGCTAATACTTACTGACCATATTTTAAGAGACACATGTTTTACCGCAGCTACCTGAATCTCAAACCCGTCTTCCAGTAATGACAGGTGAGGCACGTGAAAACCTGGGCTTCCCGCGTGGGAATAACAAGCTCACAAGATTGAATCATTCGATTCAATTCGATTGATCATTCGCTCATTCATCTTTCAGCATGGCGCCGGTGATCAAGTTGACACCATCTGAACGAGATTGTTTCTTCACTTCTGCAAGACGTCGACAAGGTGACAGTGACAGCATGGATAATTGGTGGCAGCTGTGACTCGGAGGGACAGTAGTGAGAAAACAAAGATTGCTGAAATCCTCAGTAAGAGACTGCGTCAACAGCATGACAAGCTTCCTATTACTAGGGAGATCTTAAAATTGGCCATCACACATTCGGGGTTGGCTGCTGTAACATGGTGAGTTTGTTGGCAGGTCGCTGATCCTCGAGGGACCGGGAAAGACCAAGCTCAGGTTAAATGAAAAACATTTTTACTTCTTGTCTTAGTCTAATGGTAATCAAGGGGAGGAAGAAAGCTTTATCGACACTAGAGCAACATTCTTGACAGCCTTGGAGCAGAGAGGGTGCAGCGTTCTCGTCGTCACCCTGTAAAGAAGAAAAGTGATGGTCAGAAATCATGTTCGTGAAACTTGAAAATCGCAACGTCAGTCGCCAGAGCTTACCTAAATGCACCAGCTTGCGGATTTGCTTCGACTCTCACCAGGCAACCCACATTGATGTTGTTTCCGTTCATGTCTTTGGCGCCAGTCCTGAAAGTAGCTGCTCCGGAGACCGTCCAAGGAGTGGGATCGCAACCTTGACACCTTCCAAACTTGAGGCCTTCTGTCACAATTCGGGAGATGCGTGTCATGTATTCCTCGTCAATAGTGGGGGCGTTTGCCGGTGCCTTCACGACTTCTTGACACTCACGGTCCTGCCCCTCGAGGCTCTTCCATCTCTGCATAAATGCCGCTGGTTCAAGCGTCACTGGTTCCATGAAACAGGTAGCAACCACAGGCAAACGCAATGGATACTCGTGGAGTTCCCCCTCCTCGGTTTCGAATACAACCCTCATGGCCGGAGCGTCGTCAAAAGGCGCCGTGACTTCTACTAACAGAAGAAGCTTAGCCTGAGTTCGAACAGCGACGGTGCACCCACCATTCTCGTCTTCATCTAGCAAGCCCTGTGTTCCTTGCTTCTGAACCTTGAGATGCTCCACATCTTCCACAATTGCCCGGAAATGAAACAGAGGCTTCTTGCTGAGGTTTCCGAAAAAGACCGATATACGTCCTTGCGCCCCAACATATTCTTGCTTGACACCGACCTGGAGCACCGCATTCTCGAACAATACACCAGACGGAGATGTACAGAGGTTGGAGAAAGCTTTGCGCATTGCCGGAATAACTTCTCTCGGGATGCCAACTTTTTGGGTGCGATCTTTTGGTCTGTTCGTGCCGGGACTACCGTCTGAGAAAAGCGGGCGGATGTTAGAATTGAAACATAATAAAGACAATTTAGTGCTCGTTGCATCTTTCGTCTTACCGCTCATCGGACTGACGGGATCATCCTCAATTGGCCCCACGTCGTCTGCTTTGGCCTGTGCCTGAACTTCTTCCACGGCCCTAGCGGCGGCTTTGCTCTGGGCAGCTCGTTCGCGTTGAGCAGCACTTGGTCTAGCTGCCTTGACAACAGCAGCGCTATCATCTCCTTCCTTATCACGAAGGCGTTGCTCCAGAGCGCTTTGTTTGTTATCCTCAAATGGCGGCATCTCTCTGAGAAGATCTTCCACGGCTTCGGGACTGAACGCTTCCCGCATCGATGCATACTCGGCCGCACGCTGCTGGATTTCTACATCAACGCTATTCTTGCACCGAGCAAAGACAGGGGCAACCAAAGGTCGGCACTCTTCGTACAGATTGGCAAGTTTTGCGTAAGTGCTGGTAAGGATTGCTCGCGTCTGATATTCCGAGGTTGCCCAATGCTGATGCAAGATCCGGAACTGTTCCTCTCCGCTCATGCCAGGCCTTTCCGCAATCAGAAACCCAAATTCTCCAAGGACATATGCTGCCACCCTGACAGCTGTTTCATGGCACCGCCGAGGACTTGCGGCCACCAAGAGTGTTGCGGCGGTGTATGCCTGTAAATCACCTTGTGGATGATTGGTGACGATTTGGACGACACGGTGCCAAATGGCATCACTGACGTGATCCCCACTAATAGAGATGAGCTTCAAAATAGTGTCGACGTACCAACGCAGATCCGTTGCATATTTTTCCGCCAAGATTGCAATCTTCAGCACCATTTCTTCCCTGATGGCAGCGTCGGCCAATACAAGATGGGCAACAAGCTCGTCAACAATCCGTTCGGCATTGTCCGTGTCGCACATGACAAATAAAAGGTCCAAGGCCCTGCGACGGACACTAATATCCGCATCCTTCAGCGACACCAGAACGGTTGCCTGATGTTTCTTAATGGACTCGGCACTTCCTTCCAGCTGAGCGAGTTTGGCCATGGTGAGCAATCCAAGGTACCGAATGTTTGGTTCGCGCACCGAAATAAATTTCCCAAGGAGTTTCATGGCTCCATCTCTCAAATGATCGGGTCCCGACGATCCCCAGGTGACAATGAGGTTGACCGCTTCAAACAGAACAGCATGGTCCGCATTGGACTTGTTAATTGAATCCGAAACGTCTGTTTCAGTAAGGATCTTGGATACAATACTGGTGAGTTGGGTAATGTGAGCAGCATTGTCCGCCGCCGTTTCTTTGCCATTTCCGTTTTTGGGAGTTTGCACCAGTGATGTGGGGTAGAGTTGCAAGAACTTGAGTAGTTTGATCTGAAGCCAAGGACTGGGCGTCCGGTAGTAAAGATACTCTCGTGCACAAGCTTTTTTGAGGACGAGCATTCCTAGGATGTGTACGACGTATGGGATGAGACTTTCGTAGTCATCGGGAATTTGCGAGGCGAGCCCATATAGTAGACTCATGGCACTGGTTAAAACACCCAAGTGGCGATCTTGCAAGAGTTGAGCGACCTGAGGGGCAAATTCTCTGCCAGCGACGACTTTGGGACTGGTTCGTACTAGGCGTAGGAGACAGAGAGCAGCTTTTTTCTTGACGTTTGGAGTGGAAGATTTGGCCACCAAAGTTTGCTGGACCTCCGAGTGGAGCGCCTGAATCAATTCGAGTCCAATAATGTTGGCAATGGAGCAAAGCGCCAATGACTGTCCCGCGTCAGGAGGAGCGCTATTTTTCTTTTCCGAGGTTGACGGAGTGGTCAAGTCCTTGCGAATAGTGCTAAGGACCGTGTTGACCATGGGGTCATCTCCACGCAGTAACAGACTGAGAGCGGTGTAACCGACATGTTTTTCCGAATACTTGTTGGATCTCACTAGCACCATCACTTCAGCGTGCCCAAAATCTACATCATATCCCAAGACGTGAATGTACACCAACTTCCACACGTATTTTTTCCTTTGGTAGGATGACAGCGCCGGATTCGAGCCATCTTCGGCCACCTTTCCTCCTTTGGGTGTAAATTGCTTTCGAATATTTGCGAGTTCCTTGTCCACTCGCTTTGTCTCTTCTTCCTGTAGGTAACAAACAAGGGAGAACTAGTGTCAATTAAAGGTTCATCTCCGCAACAACTACTAGACTACCAGTAGTACTGGACCATTCCACAGCATCATTCTATTCTCCAATGACAAATGACGACTCTTTGCCGGCGTGCCATCATCCCAGCCGTGGAACGATGCATTGCTTTTATTGCACCACATGGACGCCACACACAGACATGTCTCAGGCATGCACCCACTCACCTTACTCTTCGCATTGCGAAGATCGGAGATAAAGTTTTGAAGTCCTCTCGCCTGTGATGCCATGGTCGAATGACAAACTGGCTAGCTACTGTACAACAAACAAACAAGTGCTATGGAGGCACTCAGTCGATCCACCGCCAGATTGGCTCCGAGGCAATGATGATGAGACATCCATCGAAGTGGACCGACAATAAGAAACTCTGGCGCCAGACCGTTCTCGGATCGTGCCAGCATGCCATACCAGAGACAGCATTGGCAGGCGAGGGTTAAGGTTTCTTTAATTAATTAAATAAAAAAATGCCCAGCCTCGGGCAAAATCTAGCTTGCCGTATGTTAGGAAATAGATTGATATTTTTACCAAAAATACAGTATATTGGAAATGACCAAAACAAAAGATTTCAGCCAGTTCTGATTTCTCCAAAGCATGCCACACCGGTACCAGTACATCCCTTGTTGTCTGACAACAACTGTTTTCGAAAACGATTATTTGAGCTTTGCTTAGTTTGGCCTTGATCTGAGCGTGAAGATGGTGTGCTTGGATTATGGCAACAAGTGATTGAACTAAGTAGACTGCCAAATGGCGAACCATGGTACCGGTACTGTACTTTGAGGGTGGCCTAGCTAGCTAGCTAGCTAGTAGCTAGCTACAGTAGGGGAAGCATTCAAAGTAAAGAGTGCCGCGCAAGAGCAACTTTGCCCAACCATTTTTTCCCTTTCTTTTTTGAAATGGTCCAAATTGGTGGCACCTGTAGGCCAGCAAAAGACTTGCAATCTACTTGTCAAATGATCGGTACAAATTTCCGTACCGTTCGCCTACCGTTACGTATTGGAAACTGGCGTCGAGACAGAATGATACATGTCACCTCTGAGAGAATTCCAGATACCAATAAGACGGCTAGCTAGCCTTTATGTACATGTACCGGAAGCTGCTAGAGTGCAGTAGCGAGTGACAGCCGTTTCCTATGCAGTACTTTGCTTCTGCTTAGCTAGCTATGCATAGTTGTGATTCTCGCGCCACCCGGCCTGGAACAGCATGTTTTCATAGCACCGCAACGCAACGCACCGCACCCCACCGATCCATGGTACCGGTACTGGTACCTCTATTCATAAGATATTGCTAACGGTACATTCAGAGCTACCAAGGGAGGGCGTATTCATCCTTGGGCTTGGGCATTGCGGCCGCTTTTAGCTTGATGTCGTTTCGTCGTTTCAGTAGCTGCTGACACTTTGCCAATATCGCCGCTTCCGCAACAGCTCGTTGACTCTTGGCTTTCGTTCTCGCGTTGAACGCGCCTGCTACAGCTTCAAGGAAACTTGATCTCGCATTGTTGGCACTGCTCAAGCGAAGCAGATCCTCCGACATTCGTTGGATTACATCTTCAAGCGACGAGACACTGTTCACGTCGGGGTTCGTGGTGGATTTCGCTCCCTCTGAAAAGTCACTAAAGCACACATCTTCATCCAAAAGACCAGCTTTGCAAAGATGGATAAACGCTCACTCCTCGAGCGTCAGCCCCGAGAGATCCACGAGTTTCGTATTGTACTGGATGGAAGGGTCCAAAATGTCATCAACATTGTCGTCATCATCCAAGATACTGTCGTCCTCGTCGTCACTGTCTCCTTCGTCATCTGACATTACTTCAACCAGAAGAGACTGTAATCCTTCAAACACACTCTTTTGCCCTTTGCATTTCTCTCGTACCACCTTGGGAGTGCTGCTTCGGGTAATCTCTCGTTGGAAACTGTACTTCACCTCTGGCGACCAGACAGACCTCAATGTATCCTTCAATGACTCATCTGTGAAAGCTGAAAAGTACCCTGCCTTGTCGATGTATTGCCACATAGTTGCCGTGTGGATGAGCGGGACGTCATCTTTTTCCACCGTACTCTTCAGATCAGCATGCCTTCGTTCAATTGCCTGACAACGGGCTATCGTGCTGCTAATGCACGCTGCCTCTAGCTCCTTGGCCGTAAGGGCGACATCATCCGCCACCAACTGCCTCCACTTTCCGGGTCTTTGTGTCATGTAGGTCTTCCACAAATCTTCCTTGTCTGCGATGGGTACCGGAACTGCGTTGGCGTTGGCCACGGTCGAAGGATCCAAGATAGAACTTTTTCGCTTCTTCGTTGTTTTCTTTTCTTTGCTATGCTCAGGTGCCAAAGATGAACCACTAATGACTGATTTGGGCAAGATGGCAAAGAGAGGTGGGTTCAGTTTGGACTCCTTAAAGCCACTGAACTTGATCTTGACCTTCACAAGAGGAGCTTTCAAGCCAGCAAACACAGACTCGACGGCTACGGTTTCTTTCTGCTTCTTCTGGGGATCCGATAAGCCATATGTTGCTGCATATTCCTGCTCTGTGAAATTGCCCTTGCATCTTGTCCATATTTTGCAGATTCTGATTGAGAAAGTCGTATTGACGCTTTAGAAGAGCCGCCACAGAGAACAAGTCCGATGCTAGTTTGCCCTTTTCCATCCCTGCTACCATTTTTCTCAACGAGTATATGGCATTGGACATGGCTGTCTTTTTGAATTCAGCAGATTGAGTTAGTCCTCCTGAAGAGATTTGATCCTTTAGGGTGTCCATCATAAGCTGAAAGATATTTTCTGTTTCTGCCACTGTTGTGTCGTGTTGTTATTCTTTGGAACATTGGTGGTGTTGATGTAACTCGAGAAGGAAGCGTGAATTTTATCAATGACGGGATACTGCTTTCGATTCTTGAGTGAAGGTTCTGGAGGCAGTGCTGGCATGAAGGGGTAGAATAGTCCACTGGAAGCTGACAACCCACAATATGTTGCCTGTGGATGAGGAGGAGCAAAAGGTGCTGGTTTTTCTGGAACAAGAGGCACTGGAGCCACAGGCGCACTTTGCGTTGTTGTTCCTGTTGCTGTTATAGTTGTGGTGCTGGGCTTTTTGTTCTTCTTCTTCTCGCCAAGGCTTGTTGATGAGGCTGATGAGACCATTCCTGACGGAGGTGGCTTACTTATTGCGAGCTTGCTCTTCGCCTTTTGTTGGCTTTCTGATTTAGACCTTGACAAGGGAAGAGCAAACTGCCCACGCTTTTGACGCCCACCAAACTGTCCAGCAGCTGCTACATTGCCTTGAGTCATTATCGCAGAAGAAGTCGGCCCTGATGAAGAGGCAGCTCGAGCTATTGGCTAGGGTGTTGCTATCTTTGTTTTGCTCTTGGCCTTGACGACTGCCTCCGCCTTTACTCTTCCTTCTTTGATGTTTTCTTTTTCGTTGTACCGGGCTTTGCAGCTCGCCTCTTCTTCTTCATTGGAGCTTCATCTTCCTCTTCACCTGTGAGAACAGTTGCCTTTAACTTCCGTTTCGTCTTTCGACGCTTGGGAGGTTCATCAGGGGCAGGAACTGGCACTGGAGCGGGCCCTGCTTTTTCTTCCTTCGCAGGCTCAGTTGGAGCAGATGCTTCTGCAGCATTTCCCATGTCAGCAATGTCGCCCATAGGCTCTAGGTCAAGGTCGAGGCCATCGAAAAGGGCATCGCCATCATCAGCAAACATGTCATCGATATCCAGGGTATCGAGGCTGTCGATGGTGCCGTCGGCGGGGGCACCACTATTGCTTGTACGGGGCATGGTTCAGCTGTACTCTGTTTTTGTTGATGGAAGATAAAAGGGGATGAATGTATGATTGTCTCAATATCTGTTCTTTCGAATGTCGAATGCATGTTTTGATGGAGACATGGAGAGCCACAATCGGCATTCGTCGTCCTATTAATTCCCGATACGATGGTGGGAAAGGGCGTGAGGCTCCATGGAGTTCTCTCAGGATTCTTTCAAGACTGGTCCAGTCACTGGTCGAGAGCAGCAGCAGTAAAATGAAGCACAATCTCGAGCTCATTTGAATTTCCCGCCACCCAAAGTCAAGACCATGCCAGCGTCGTTGTGGTTATGGCAGTGCACTACGCTAAAAGCTAGTGTAAAGATCTTTCGAGTGTTTTGAGTTTGAGAGAATGAAAGTTATGAGAGAGATTAGAAAGCTATGACTAATCAACGAGAGAGATCATCATCAAGGATCGTAGATCTGGCTTCCGCGGGAGACTATAAAGTGTGATAGAGTAGGTTGTGTATAATCCTACGTCTCTCACGATCCTAAAACGGAACGCGTGGAAGTTGTCTAGCCTGATCTAGTAGCGTGGAAGTCTCTCCACGCTGCTAAATATCTAGCGATGTTTCATCATCAACCTAGTATGACTAGCGCGGTCATGAGAACCCTGTTCAATGACTATTCACGAGGACTAGTCATGAGTCGAACTCAAACCCTATCTAGGATCGAGTCGCGAATAAGGCTAAGAGCCGTGTATTGCATTCGCCCCTGACAAGGGTCACAGAAGGCGCGACAGCAGTCGGACAAGGAGAACATATGATTTAAAGTGCGGGGCACTCTCATGAGATTTGGATGTAGACATGTGCGTCGCACGATGGCAATCCTACAAGGGGATCAGGCCTTGTATGGGTGTATATACCTTATGTTCCAGTCTGGTAGACTGTGCCGCCGTTGGCGGTAGCATGTTGGAGCCGTACAGTGCCATTGTCATTGACTCGGTCTATAGTGTAAGGACCTTTGTACTTTGGCTGACCGTACTTGCGGTGCTGATACTGTTGAATCATCACAGTATCGTTGACATTGTATTGATGAGGACACGCGTTGCGTTTTCCCTATCGTTGTTTTGTTGGATTAGTCGTTGGCGACGTTCCTTAATGTACTTCCAGTTGGCTTCGAACCGGACGTTGTGAATCGCGTCACGATTGAACACGAGCTGTGCGGGCGTTGCACGCAAGGTGTATGAATCGTGGCATTCATTGCAAAGCGAACCGCCGTGAGGACTCCATCCAGGATCCATTCACGAGGTCGTCTTGGCACTTGATGTTTGAACAGCGATCAAGTTAGTATGGTTTGATGAGCACGCTTCGACCATAGAGTTGGCTTGAGGGTTACGCGTGGTGATGAACTTGCGACGAAGTCCATATTCATCCCGGAGTGTCTTTTCGACCTCTGCGCGGAACTCACGTCCTCTATCCATGATAACCTCAGCAGGCCATGGATACCGAGTAAGCCACGTTTGTTCTAGGACGATGGCTACTTCGTCTGCTGCTTTGAGCAGATCTCTGCAATCTCGAACCATCGTTACGGGATCAATCATTGTCAAGCAATGAAGTGTGCAGGAATTCTTTTTTTTGGATCCCCGACTTGTAAGGGCCTATCAGGTCAATACATAGTCTTTCCCAAGGGATCTCCTCGCAAGTCTTTGGAGGCATCAATCCCAGCTTACGGTCTTGGGTTGTTCATCTGCAGCTTGGCAACGCTGACATACGGCCTGCACAGTCCTGCGCAGACCTTTCCAGGTGTAGTGTTGGCTGATGGTTAGTTCCGTGCGAGTCTCGCCAGGATGCATCAGCACACCATGGTACCATTCAACTAGCTTTTTCTGCATAGTTTTAGGTACGACGATTTTCTCGTCTTTAACTACTAAGTCGTAGGACTTATCCCCTCTGGGAAAGATTGCTTCTTGTAGTCGTTTGGCTTGTCCCTGAGGAGCTTCTTGATATCGTTGTCGTCTTTCTGACGATGTTCGATCTCGGGGAACGAGAGAGGGAACTCGCTAGGGAAGTCCTCTTCGTCTGCAGCCATGAGTTCAGCGATCTCGCTGGCGTCCATCTGTTCTGAAGAACCGTCGTTGTTGGAGATGTTAAGTCTCGACAACGCATAGCGACGATGTTCTGTTCGCCTTGATGTACCGTAGTTCAGGGCCGTATTCTTCCAGAATAAGGCGCCATCGCATTACGCGATCGGTATTGAAGTTCTTACATGTAAATTCTTTGTCCGTATGTACAACATATCTTCTGTCCAGAAGAATGTTACGGAACTTCTTTACAGTTTCTACGATACTGAGAGTTCCTTCTCGTATGTGTAACGTGTTTGAGCGGGTTGAGCTTCCTGCTGTAGAACGCGATAGGTTTTCCTTCTGGGAAATTACTGCACCTAGTTGAGTATCACTTGCATCCGTGTGGATAACGAATGTATCGTTGAAGTCAGGGTAGGCGAGCAAGGTTTCTTTGCTGATGATCTTCTTCATCTGGCTAAAGGCCTTGTCGTGTTCGCTTCCCATTTCCACTTCGTTGTTTTGGAAGTCAACGAAGCGAGTGGGGCCAGTACATGTGATCGTCTAATCCACATGTCTCGATAGTAGTTCACTAGTCCAATGAATCTACGGAGTTCCTTTCTGTTGGTAGGAGGAGCGATATTCTTGATCGCGTCTATTTTCTTGGTTATAGGTTGGATCCCTTCTCGAGTAATCCAGTAACCTAGGTACTCAAGTTCTCTCTTGCGAAGAAGGACTTGGTAGCATTGATCTTAAGTCCGGCTTCTCGAAGCCTTCGGAGAACTTCATCCAACTTTTCAACGTGATCTGCTAGATCGCCGTTAGTTAGGATGAGTAGATCATCAATGTATGCACGGACGTATCTAGGTCTGCATTAGTGTTCATCTTCTCTTGGAAGATGACGGACTATACATAGGCCATTGCAACCTCTGGTACTCGTACTTTCCCCGGGAGTACGATGGTACAGAGTTGTTCGAGTGAGGTGACAGTGATGTGATAGTATCCCAGTTCAGGTCTAGACTAGTGCGTACTTGAATCCGTCTAGGTTCAAGAGCATGTCCTGTATTTTTGGGATGGATAAGCTTCCGCTTAATCTTTGTTACAGTTCCCGGAAATCAGAGATGAATCGTACAGATCCCATTCTTTCTTGGGAATGATAAATGTTGTGCCCCACTCGGAACGGTTTCTTTTGAGTACTCCTGCCTCGCAGAGACGTTCAACTCCTTTTAAGAGTGTTGGTATGACCGTGGAATAGGATAAGCTCTGGCATGATAGGGTTTAGCATCAGGGAGAAGTTCTACTTCGTAGTCCATCTGCACTTTCCTAAAGTACCATCAATAGGTCAGAGTACTTTTCAGTAAGGAATGAAGCTGTTCCTTCTCTTCCGTGTTTAATGATCTTGACTTTGGAACCTGCCTTGAAGTCAGTTTGTTCGTATGTTGCTATAAGAATCTTCTTGAGACGATCTGCACTGTCATCAACAGCGGTAGGATCAGGAATGAAAAAAGTTTTCTTCTTCTGGTGTCGCTTTTTTCATAGGAATAATGCGCCGTCCATTCCACTGACATGGTAGTGAAATCAGAACTTGATATCTATCAGAGAGAATGTCTTCGACCTATGATCATGTCATACGCCCCAAGTTCTTGTGACGTTAAATCCCACTCGATAATTCTATATTCGTGGAATTCAGGAACATAAATGCACCTTTGCACTTCTGCTGGTGTTTAATTCATCCTGCAGGGGTAGTCCACATTGTTTGGACCCCTCAAGATCCTTCATGCGTATTTCTTAGCATGAGGTTGAGCAATCAAGGTTCGGATGCTCCTGTATCCAGTAGGAACGGAGTGTAACGGGTTTTGTTTTCCCTTTTTCTCGCTTGTTAATCTAACATAGACGATGGGTTGAGGTCTCTTGTCTTGCGACGTTTACGAGGTGGTTGGCCACGGACGAGGTAAAATGCTAAATGATCATCAAAGTCTAGTTGAGCAGCTTTAGGCAATATCTAATTTGCCGTAGAGTTCATCAGTTGCAAACAATTCTTGTTTACTAGTTAGTGAGATATCTTCATCACTTTGGTATGAGAATTCGGAACATGGTTCCGTTTAGTCATCATCCTGGCCTAATTTCAGATAGATTTCCATCCAAGTATTAAATTATAGAGGAGTAGTCTATTGTCTGATTGGCAACATGGTTGCGAAGTTTGCAAGTGGTTGCACGAGTATCGTCGATTTCGTTTTCTTCGTCATTGTGGACGAGAGGAAGAATGGTTTTGTCACGTAACTGTTTTCGAAGTTGCGGAACGTCATGCTTTCCTTGAGCCATCTTAATGGTGAAGGAATAGATTGAGGGTAGCTGAAGCTATTGTGTTTTGTTACAAAATGCACTACGCTAAAAGCTAGTGTAAAGATCTTTCGAGTGTTTTGAGTTTGAGAGAATGAAATTAGAGAGAGATTAGAAAGCTATGAAAATAATCAACGAGAGAGATCATCATAAAGGATCGTAGATCTGGTTCCCGCGGGAGACATAAAGTGGGATAGAGTAGTTGTGGTAATAATCCTAGTCTCTCCACGACCTAAAAAGGAACGCGTGGAAGGTTTGTCTAGCCTGGATCTAGTAGCGTGGAAGTACTCCACGCTGGCTAAATATCTAGAGCGATGTTTCATCATCAACCTAGTATGACTAGCGCGGTCATTGAGAACTGTCTCAAATGACTATTCACGAGAGATCAGTCATGAGTCGAACTCAAACATATACATGAGTCGAACTCAAACCCTATCTAGGATCGAGTCGCGAATAAGGCTAAGAGCCGTGTATTGCAGCAGCACGGAAGCTGGTATCGGTACCAGTAGCTACTGCTTGGAAGAGTACCAGTATAATCGAGCCATCACGAGCTGTCTACTCACACCACAAAGACAGCCAAAACCACACACTTTCAACAAGGAGCACTGCTGCCACTCATTCATCACAACAGCC